AAGGTCCAGTCTCTTCGTGACAATCCAGTCTAAAAAAGGTGAGATTTTGAAATCCCAAAATATCCCACTGAAAACTGCTAGCACATCCTCAAGAAAATCCTCTTCGTGTCACCTGCACTGTTGAGCCAAGTCAAACAAGTGGACTAAGATAGCATGTAATTCCGACGCTATTCGATCGACGAATAGATGGAAATGGAGAGTACATACACTCAACTACTGATAGTGTCGGAGTAGTTAAAATTTGAAACGGATATTCTCCCAGAAAAGCAAGTGGATATGGCTAGGACTGCGGAACGGGCATATTAGCTGTCCGCTTCCATAAACAAGGGTCTGTATCAAGGAACTACTTATCGAAGTTGAAGCCATGGACGAAGCCGCTGTACACTGTTGAAAAATCTCACTATGAACTAAAAACCAGAACCTACAGGCTTTTCAACAGCCAAATATGCCTACCAAAAATCGGTTGGTACGAGACTTCTGCTGTTGGCGGAAAATACGAGATGCAATTAAAGTTTTGTGACCCCGCACACATTGATATGCGTAATCTCCATGTCGGACAGGGGATAAATTGATATAGTAGTGGTCATAAATCATTAAATGCAAACGACCGATCACGGGCATCTGGTTGTAGTCCCTATTTTTTTACCAGTCTATGAAGAGGTATTTCCAAGTAGCTTGTGCGAACCGTTCAGCCTACGGGGCGAGTCAAACGACCGGCATTTCCCACCGGCTGATCCAACGCTCAGTCAAATGCAACATAATGGAACAGAAGGCATTGTCCGTCGGATATTGTGACTTCTCAGTTAGTAAATATAGATGATAAAAATAAGATAGATACTGAGGCAAACCGTCTGACGTCTGAAGACGTCTGAATCACTATCCCGACCTTATCACGCTCCATTTCCTAAAGTTCGGTTATTTGGACCACTTCAATTACGGTCCCATCGTTTGGCTAGCGACAAAATAAAGTCAACGCGGTGAGGATGCATGGGACAGTAAAGCTATTTTCATCAAGTCCGAAAAACACCATTCAATTTACGTCCCCCCTCTGGTTTATAAGCGCCCAGCGGGTCCAACAGGTAGCATAGTGAAACCTCGTTGTTTCGCTAGAAAAAAAGGTCCACACGAGGTGGAACATGAGATGGAAACATATTTATTAGAAAGAAATGAACAAAGGGAAGTTTGAAGAAGATCCTATTCACACAAGCCTAAGCTGCCAGGAAAACGTTCTGATCCAACTTGACAAAACGCGCCATCGCAGCGCAGATACAGTCCATCTAGAAAAAGTATAGGGAAACAACAAAACGGGATAAACGTGAAAAGCTAGTATAGGAATGTGTTGCGTCGCATTTTACATTCATGGACATGACTTGACACCACACTCCCTGTGATTCAAAAATTCGACGAATTGGAATTCCAATTGCACAATGTATAAATAGAAACATGGAGGTTTGGGGGGAGTCGATGCACCGAATTCCCGTTTGTAGTAGTGCTTTAACAGATGGACTACCCAAGACAAAACACCCGTGCACTCAAACCAAACGGATGACCAATCGCGCATCTGTGGAATCAACAACAACGTAGACTCTATTGTAAGGGATAGGATGTGGGACTATTAATAACCGTTCACTCGCTTTCTGAACAGTGGTCCTGATAGTACATGAAGAAATATTTCGTTTCTGTCACAACTACGTCATTCAACACATTTGCACATCTGCAACTGAGATGTACTAGTCCATCTGTAGAAGGATCATGCAGATACCTGTAAATGGGGGAATGCTTTTCAACACAGCTGGCTACAAAGCAAGGTGATTTAGCACAAACACGTGTTCTAAATGAAAAGAAAGTAATGGCAACTATTGGGAACTCGGTCAACGATGAATTTTCGTGCGTTGTTTCATCCTACACTCCGAACTGATCACCATCCGCTCGTGGTGCCAATACAACACATTCCACGGAATAGTGAACTAGGCATATTTTAGATGGAATTACTAGTTAAGCTAAAACCCAGTAAAGCCTTGACAGTACATGGCGTAACATATCAGCAGTGTTCGTGACACCAACCGCCCAAGGCGACAGCCTGGTAGTTAGTCCAGATCACTTAATAGAGTCTGTTGATTGTACCGTTTTTGCCTGGAACAGGACCTGTCAGTCAGTTTTGGTCACGTGGGGGTTTCAACAAAGATAACATTGCAACGGGGAATATTTCGGGTTGCCAAAATAGCCTGCCAACTGATAACCCATCCTCGATGATCCAGTCAAGAAAAGCGCTTGGGTTGAGGACTGGCGGCATATAAAGTTCCAAATAAGAAACACTGTTGGAGTGAAGTACACTATCACTCCAACCAAAACCAGAGATGGCTACTGAGGATATGTCTGAAACCAGTATGTGAAATGAGTGCTGAAGGCTCTATGATCGAGATCTACTGTTTTCTTATCAATTAAACAACACACTCCAAATCACCCTTTAAAATAATCACCCAGGACTTTTAAGAGCCCCATGTTTTTACAAGGTGAAGCGTTGTCTCAACTGAACAATCACATTCCCTTATGGGATGTACGATCCAGCCAGTTTCGAACAGGAAGTGGCGTACTACGTTTTGCAATAACCCAGAGCAAGTCTACCCTAGCTTATCTGTGCTAATTTCAACTATCAGATGCACGGGGCCAGGCACATCCGCGTTGCAGCGTTTGGCAGGACTGAAAATTCGGGCATGCAAAGTCTAGGTGAGTGGGATTAACGAGTGCGGCCTCTAGTGAGGGAGTTCAACCGATCAGCCTTACGTATCCAACCGGAGGGATCTGAAACGATCAGCTATCCTTCAAATAGAACAGATACGTGTTCGAGAACACACCTCATCCGAGGAAAGTGCGCTTATGCCAAACAGCTGTGTGAAGGGATTTCAAGACACGATTGATGTGCACTCCCTTAGAAATGAGGACAAATTACTCGGGAATGAAGTTCGCGAAGGAACCTAAACCAGCATCAAATCGATGATAGTGTATACCAGCTAAATTCCATCAGAACCAAGAATTAGAAGCATCTACTTTGGTAACGCTAGTAAAACTTTGGTTGATGGCCAAATCATTTGAATTGCGAGAATCCTGGAAGAAACAAAGGCAGCACAAATAAAAAACCTCTTAGCGTGGCCCGGCCACACGAAAAAACGACAAGACTACCGGACACCAAATATTGGGGTTAAATCCAATCACTGACAACGGCGAAAATCGCATATCCAAACCCTGTGATTAAAAAAACTGGAGCTAGAAGCAATAAACGAGAGACATATGAATGTGGCCCGGCCACACGAAAAAACGACAAGACTACCGGACACCAAATATTGGGGTTAAATCCAATCACTGACAACGGCGAAAATCGCATATCCAAACCCTGTGATTAAAAAAACTGGAGCTAGAAGCAATAAACGAGAGATCAGCCATATGAATGGGAACTCCACACTCACCCAGGACTTAGCAACCAAATATAAACTGAGACGATAGTGCGTAACCCGGCGCAACTGTTGTTCAACGGTTCGGTCAAGTTCTGCGTAGCACAAATCCAGAAAGTGCTCGCGTTCTTTTGGCGAGTATTGGGGGGAGGAGGAACAACTGTTGCTCGTAGACAGTTGGGATCGGCGTTGGTAGAACCAGTTCAAATGACCAGCTTTCAGGTAGTCCGGGGCTAACCGAACCATAAGGGCCGGTGGAGCACACGGCAAGTAAGCTAGATTCTAGGAGAGGAAAATCACAGCAGAAACATTGGAATAGCTGTAAAATATGTAAGATATGTCTGGTTCCCTGGAACAACCAGCACAGAAACTGAGCTTCTAGTTGTTGAGTAGTCAAAACATTGAAAACATAGTCCCTCCCGGTTAACATTATTTACCGACGACAGCTGTGACAAACTATTAAACTGGTCAACAAAGAAAAGCGTTCAGCTGTAGCATTCTTTCGGTGCCTAGCTGCCATGCCACCCAAAGGAAGCACGAGGGCTGGGATACTGCCAGGCTGCCCAAGCCTAGACAGGGGAAGTCGAGTGGCGACGGTCGGATTCGAACCACGAACCTTCCGATCAGTAAATTCGCGCTCTAACCACTTGGGCCATGTCGCCCAAAGGGCAACTGGTCAACAGTTGGAGTGAAATCGAGTACTCGAATGAGTAGCTTCCGAGAAGCTAAATTTATTAACGCTTCGTAATGAAACGGATATCTGTTAAAACCTTAAGTTTTCTCCACCAACGAAGTCATATATGATTGTTTTTTGTGTGACCTGTACTGAGCAGCACGCTAAACAAGGTGTAGTGCATCGGAAGAACACTCGTCAACGTGTTAAGTAATGGATGTTAAGTTAATGGAGGGAACACTGGTCCTTATTTCCAGTACCTCATCATAATCGGACATTGCTCAATACGCCAGTTATGAAGAACCATATCCGAATATTTGGCACGACGGATTCGCCGGAAGAACAGGTAGTGCATTCTGCAAAGCAGCTACTTCAGCCTCACTCCAACCAAACGTCGAAGCCTGACAAAAACAAAATCAATGCCTGAAAATAACGCAACCTGACAACTAACGGTACTGAGTAAATGCAACTGCAAGCTTCGGCAATTACGAACCGCGGCACACAGAGATATTAGGCGAACATAGTATGGGTCCCTTACTTCATCATCCTGAGTAAGCTTCAGGTGGCAACTCGTATTCCATTCGCCAGCATCCATACAAGTAGCATAAGTCTCCATGTCATCAATAGCGGGTGGGTCGGGATTTGCCTCGACCCGAATGTGAAATTCACGAATGCGTTGAATCTCGCAAAGAATCCGCGGATTAAGGCGTTCAATTTGATCTGTACTAAATTTATCCAATGGGTCGGATTCCGGATCGTAAGGGATTATGGACCGAGTGAAGAGGAATGCTGGAATAATGAAAAAACGGTAGAAGCACAGAGTTGACACAAAGTGTGCTGGGGTATAAAACGTCCTTGGAATGTCGACCAACATAAAGAGAATCGTCCTAGTTTCGAGGAACTCTTCACATATGGAAAAATGTCGTGACCAAAGCTAAGAAATAAACTTGTTCAACTATTTTCACCGTCTGTCTGCCTGGTTGGGAGCGCCCTCGGTGTGGTTGATCGTGAAACGCAGAATGTTGTGAAGAGTGGCATCTATTTGGAGGGACCATTCTTGGAAGGAATTCGTCACGATGGAGCCGCATAATACAATGGTATGACAAACGGCAAAAGTGACTTGTATGTATTCGATGACCAGATACTAATTGGAGTAGAGCAAAGAATGAATCGTAGCGGACCAATCAAACGGTAGTAAATGGGATAAATAGATAGTGCGAGTCTAGAAAAGACATCCATAGCCACCGAACTACAAAGAGAACCTCCAGGAGTTTACAGAACAGTAATGTTTTAATGAAAATTAGTTGTGGTCCTGAAGTTAACCTCTTCAGTGCGGCTGGGATTAAATGTTTTCTTGTACACATCTGTTTCATTGTAATGATGTATGTACGGACAACAATAATGCATGGGTTAGCAGAAACAATCAGAAAAACACAAAACCTTCCGAAAACATAAAAGGCAACTGACTGCTACGCACATGAAAAGTGACTCTGTAAGGTGAAAACTAGTAGTTGGAATAGGTTGAAAATGAAGACCAACTAAGCATTCTCAAAAAGAACTTACAGGAATTTGAAGCGTCCTGGAGAGAAAAGAGAACGGTGTAGTGAGCTACTGACATTGCCCTTGGGAAAAAGGTAAGAAGACAGCTAAAGTCTCAACCATTCGAAAAATGACTCGCCAATTCAATGTACCCATGAAGCCTCAAACTTAACTAGGTTCTAGTTTTGTCTTGGAAACGAAGTGTACTGTTGTTCCACATGAAAAACTTCCCAGAAGGTTATTCCCAGAAGACTATTGAAATGCTCCATCAGTACAGCATATAACAAACTCGTTTTAGATGCCCAAATGGAGGATTCAGCTCTGGTGAGAAAATGTAGCAATGAAAGTGATATTTACTAGTTCGAATTTACGACACGGTAGTTAGTAGTACTGCTGTCAAACCATTCCACGGAAAAGACCGGCCCTTGAAAGTTGATTCGACTCAAACGACAGCTTGGTTGGTAGTGGGTTGGAAAGCTCCTGGGAGTCTGAATGCGGACTGAAGGCGCTAAAGCCGGCAAACCGCGTGGAAAAGTACGAGGAATTCCGAGATTTATAGAAGGAATCTCGGTGGTATTAGGAAAAACTTGTGTCACATTAGAAATATGCCCCGGATTGCGCTGAGGTGCGAACGAAGCTCTTTCCAGCCTAAAAAGACTAGTAGCACTCGACGGAAACCATTGAAAGGTGAAGTGTTACTCTTCATTTCCCTATGAAACTTAAGTGTAAAGTTGACTCACCGGAAGTGTTTGTAGTTTTTGGTGCTCCAAAAGCTGGCCCGGAGCGGGTGGCTCGCACTGGCCACTGGATGCTTGTGTACCAAGACATATCTTTTTACCCTGCGGCTCGTTAGTTTTGTCGGTTACTTTACCGGATCCTTCAGGACACTGCCAGTTATCTGATTCCTCTTCTTTTTTGTCATTTTCCACTTCTGAAAGCGCCCTTTCGCGCTTTCGACTACATGGCCTAACAGGCAGAAGTTCAGTATCACTCGGCTTATCAGACGGCTCATCTTTCGATGACTTGGATATGTCTTGTGGACAGATATCTTGTGGTAGCAGCAGGCCAAAAGTCTCGCGAAACTGTTTGGTTTCTTGAGAAATCTGTCAAAAAAGATGTCAGAAGAGCAGGTTACTTTCCTATCCTTGTCTTCGTACAAACTTCAACCCCAAAGAACTGATAAAAAAAGTTTTGTCAAAGCCATACGGAATAGGAGCAGATGCACTTCTGATCTCCTGTATCTATCCAGCATGACTGGGGCTCATATATTCAAAAAGGTAGCAAACACTCAAAAGTAAGAAAGGACAGACTAGAACGTGCTTGATCCATCTGCACACAAATAACAATGAAAAGGTTGATGTAACCAACCTACTCGAGTACAACTTCACGGGAGTTAGGGAAACTACAGCATGAGGGATTAAATCCCGAGAAAAATTTCAAAATCCTAGCATACTACCAGTAAACCTACAAAATAAATAATCATACCTTAGGACGAACGGACAAATTTCACGTGTCACAGACGTAAGAATGCGGAGGTTTATGATAGACTGGTCCATACCACGCACACAGACGCTTCCTACGTTCTAATGCACCATTAACTGATACTTACATCTGTAGTCAGTTGTTGGGAGGGACCACATGGCACAGTTGAATGCACAGTGGGATGACAGTAAAAGCTTGTTACGACTCGTTTTAACCTACTGTACTGAACCCATTTAGATGTTGGTACCACCAACGAAGTCGCCGAAATGCTCAGGAAGCTAAAAAGGCAACGGGGAGAAACCTGTGGAAATAAGGAAGCCTTTGTGTCACACTTCAGTGTATCGCTTCTTCGATGCTGAGCTACTGCCCGTAGCAGCACGGACCTTGTGCCACCGATTTTGCTAAAGCTTTCAAATGTATCATGTCACGACACTTGTCTAAGTCACTAGACCACCTAATAACTGAGTCGTGACCGCCAAAGTTGCCGCAAGTTTTATTGATAAGGGATTTATAGCACGAAAGAAAGAAATCGTTCAGCTGTAGCACCCTTTTGGTGCTATGCCACCCGAAGGTTGCACGAGGGCTGGGCTAGTGCCAGGTTGCCCAAGTCTAGATAGGGAAAGTCGAGAGGCAGAGGTCGGGTCCGAACCACGGACCTTCCGGTCAGTAAATTCGCGCTCTAACCACTTGGGCCATCTCGCCAAAGAAGTGGAATAAACAATATCTACACGTATTAGTTGCCGATCGATATCATAATGATATATGGTGCACCCAACAAAGCTAACGGGGCAAAACTATATTTCGAGGCAAACAGGTTCTAAAAAAAATAGAAGGAAACAAGAGACAAGGGAAACAATCAAGAAGCGTAGCTTTTCCTCTCATCATATAAGCAAACATTGGGTTTCGCACAAGCCAAAACCGTTTTAGCATTTACGTTCATGCCACGCTTGCTTGACAGTACTCTTGTTCTGGCATAATTATTCTGACGAGTCAACACCAGAGGAAGGAAGCACTTGATTCAGGTTTCGCCCTTATTAGAGCTCGCCAGTAGTGCAATATCTTGGCCGCACCGAGGTTTGAACTCCGGACATCTGACTTTCGAAGAAAGCGTGATTCCATCACTCCCCAGAGTGGACGAATTAACATGTTTACGCTTGAGCGATTAGGTTGGTTTGCACGGCATCTCGAACAAGGAACCAGTAATTGCCCTGGTTGTGTCGATCGGTTGACCCGCCTGTCAGGACTTCCCGGTCGGGTAGCGCTACAGACGCCGGAAACCTGCTTGCAGCCGTTGATTAGTTGTCGATAGTTGCGGAATTTGTGGTACTCATTTTCACATCACAAGTTTCAACAGTCTTCCTCCTGTCCTGGAAAAATTATTCTACACTAAACTGGACTGAAGTTTCGCTCTTCTTAGAGCTCATCAGTAGTGCATATCCTTGGTCGCGTCGGACATTTAACACCGACAATTTTTGAATAACTGTGGGTAGAAAAAGGTCCACAAATCGAATGTAGAATGTCTTCGACGTTCCAAACACAATTATTCATCCCGTAAGCAATGAGACTGTTCATAGTTGAGAGGAGGTATATTATCCTGACTGACTAGGGCACTTTTTTCGGATACCGAGAGCTCTATATTCAAATCCATTGTCGAAAGCATACATTGCAATGAACATAGTTCAATTTCGCGATTTACCAGAATTCTGAACAAACTATCCAATAGAGTGATTGGTAGAAATCGTTCAGAATGGCTCCAATCTTGAGCTGTACGGTGGCAAAATGGCCATCATTCTGCCCTGAATGCGTTCTGCACGTATTCAACCACGAGCGGCTAAATAAACTAAGAGTGAAGCCTGACCATCGTTAGCTATGTTTTTAGGTTCAGAATTCATGCACAAAGATGCTTCAGCTAAAAAACAGGTAAAGCAGCAGAGTGCAATGGAGGCCCACAGCCTTACTTCAATAATAATAATAATAATAATAATAATAAGGTAGCGAAAAATAAAGTGAAGAACTAGAGTGACACAGCAAACGGTGAGTTCGGCGAACCTCATTTATTGCACGACAAACGCGGCGACCGTAACTGGAGTCTTGTGTGGCTCGCTCGGCGATCTTTTGCAATTCTGTGGCTAACATTTGCAGACTAGTCTGAAAACCACCCAGTCCCATTCCCGACGTCCGAGGCTGGGAACTAAACGGCCCAACACCATGACCAGTTCGTGCAATCTGTCCGTCCGGGATAACGGCGGCAGGTGCTGGTCGCGTCCCACTAGGTTCTGCTGGAAATGTACCGAGTTGAGAGGCCGTCTGCAAACTGGACGCATTTTGGGTAGATGGTGCACCGACATCCGGACTTGTGGAGACAAACAACGCACGGCTGTTTGGGGAAGCTTGGCTGGGATTTCGGGCGAGATGTGCGTCAGACATGCTAGTTGGGCTGCCTGATCCGAGTGGTTGGGAGAGAAGCGTGTTCAGATTGGTAGTTGGAACTCCAGGGATAGAAAAACAAGGAAAAAGAAATTATGAAAACACTAAGTACTGCGTTGTCAACGGAAAGTGTGTGCTTGGGTTGATCTATCGCATTTCCCCGAATTTCTATATACCGTAGCGATCTACGCACAGATTCGAATCCGGCTTCACGTAAAACCACGTAGCTCAACGAATAGTCGAGATTGTGAAAAATCAGAGATGAACCGGAGGGAGTAACAGCTGATAAACAGCAAAGCTTGTTCGAGGGTTGCTACTCCATACAAGACAGGACGGACAGAAAGCTAGGATGTTAGGAAAATGGTGCGAATCGGAGAAAACCGATATCGAAACGCAATCGGGTGAATAGGGAGGTGAAATTCTCTCTAAACCTACACTTGATGTAGAACGAATCTGGAAGACTCGTCAGCTATGTACGCAGGCACTTGAAGAGTAGCTGTCTAAAATGAACAGCACAATGTGATTAGTAACAAGAAATCCAAGCTAAGAAGTTCCGAAGTATAAAAAGAAAAAAATCGTTCAGCTGTAGCACCCTTTCGGTGCCTAACTGCCATGCCACCTAAATGAAGCACGAAGGCTGGGATACTGCCACGTTGCCCAAGCCTAGACAGGGGAAGTCGAGTGGCAGAGGTCGGGTTCGAACCACGGACCTTCCAGTCTGTAAATTCGCGCTCTAACCACTTGGGCCATATCGCCCCAAGTATAAAAAGAGAAAACAAGAACAGTCGAAAAAGTGTCGACTCACCTCTGAAACGATTCTGTGGTTGTTCAGTCGAACCTTGTTGGGGCTGCACACCAGGCGCGGCTCTCTGTTGCTGCTGTTGTTGTTGCCGTCCCTGATCTGCCGTCAAGGTTCCTTGACGTGAAAGCAGTTGCATCGGAACAGATTTCCTAACGCTATCGGATACCGCAGCTTTATGTTGCAAGTTGGAAGTGCTAGCTGCGGCTGCAGCAGCTACAGAGGCCGCGGCGGCCACGGCAGCAGCGTGTTTCGGCTGTTGTTGTTGCTGCTGCTGTGATGGATGTTGTTGTTGTTGTTGTGCCAGGTGCATTGGATTCCGTTCGATCTCGTCCAACAACCGTTCGATCGGTTGCACTTGCGCCAGCCGTATTACATTTAGGTTTGCCTCGGGATTTTCCAGTATATCACGCAGTTTGATGTATTTGCGTACGTACGGTTGCGTTTCAGGTTGAGCGGAAGCCATCTGAATCCCCTGACGTACAGCTGGCAGGTACCTAGCTGCCATGGCCGTTAGGCGATTGATAATTTGAGCTTGGACTTCAGGTGAATGTACCTCCTGTGCTGGTTTCGATGTCGCCGAACCACCTCGACCACTGCTTCCATCGATACGCTGACCATTCGACCGGTCTGAAGTAGCACATATACAGAATGGTAAATCGATAAACTGACCAAAAATAAACAGAATGGACATGGAAAATACTTTTGAAAATGTAGTAGCAGTGGTCAGTATGCATCGACACTGGTGTATGGCTCAAGATAAAACATGGGAAGACCTGATCAGGAACAGTTAGAACACAAAGGAGTCGGAACAAAACAATAAGCCATACCCGTACCGGAGGAATGGCTCCTAGACGCCAGGGCTGCGACATTCGGAGCGGACTGAGAGGCCACTGTGGATGGCAATAAAGACTTCGACTGTTGAGTTGAAGCAGATTTCTGTGGAGTTGGCTGAAGGTTTGGGCGTACCACTTTTGCTTGTCCCGTAGGTAAAACCGTAATGACCGACTTTCCAGCAATTGGTACATTGGCCACAGAAACCGAAGGAACTGCTGATTCATCTGATTGTACGATGGTTGGAAGCGAATTGTTGCTCGTGGTTCTAATCAAGACCGGGCCAGGTGTGCCAGTACCGCCTGTAAACAAACAACAGACAAGATCATGGATATAGGGATATGTACCAGGGAGATAAAGCTGAAATACGGCAAAGAAAAATCGACACGTTGGAAAAACGCATGTTACTAGCGTTTGTTCACAAGAGACACCATGATCAAAATCACAACCTGCTGCTCAAATCTTAATCGCTGAGGAAGTCAAAAACTACAGATTTTTCTGAGGGAAGAGACTGGAGAGACAACGGTACATAATAATAACCTAAGAAGCTAACTGGACACGATGCAACGAAAGAAACTAAGACGTCAATGAATACGGTTAACTACTAGAAGCCTTGAAACGTGGGGTAAAACGGGTCAAGCAAAACCGACAAAGTAGCGGATAAGCTGCGATTCTCCAGACCTCTGGTGGTGAGTTGACATGTCACACATGTAAATTTATTCCTCGTCACGGTGACAGTAATCAAACAATATTCTTTAGAAATCACTGCCTTCGAGGAACCTTCTAAACTAACCAGTATGAGTGCACGAGCTCAAATGATGTCAAACCAAGGCGCCAGGGACACCAAAAAAATCCACGACAGGCAGTAAACACGCCCAATCAATCAACCAGGGTACAGATAGAAAATTGATGGAAGAAATAAGAGGCCCGTAAGGTTTCCCAAGGGCTGGTCCAAACGACGTAAGTAACGCGAAGAAAGAAAGCTTGGGAAATCTGTGAAGCCGCGAATGAAGTAATCAAGAGCCTGAAACTTCAAATCCTCAACCATAAGAAGGAATTAGTTGCGCACATACGTCCTCAGTATACAATCGCATGTGCATAGTTCAAAGAAGGGCTCATTAAACGGCTAGATCTGCTTACCCAAAGCCAATAGATGCAGTATACTTAATCCAAAGAGATACGTGGACTGATAGGCGGCTATAAAGAGTAATGAAGCGGAAAACTGAATTACCTATCATCACATTTTCCGACCCGCATATTTGCGAAAAAAAACTGCTGCTCTCTAATTTACCCGGATTATGGGCGACTTCATCTTCAACTGAGAACTTCGGCCCGTAACCGAGACCCAGGTTACCTGGTACCGGATTTGATTCAGTGCACAGTACCGGTGTTTCAGTGACACACAATCACGTCAATTCATTGAAATAGAATGAGATGGCTCAGTGGTTACAGCGCGGATTTAATGACCGGAAGGTCCGTGGTTCGAACCCGACCTTTGCATCTGGACTTCTGCCTAGGCTTGGGCAACCTGGTAGTATCCCAGCCGTCGTGCTTCCTTCGGGCAGTTGGGAACCGAAAGGGTGTTACAGCTGAACGATGATTATTAAAATAAAACCACGTACTTAAAGAATGTACGGGGATGGGCTTAGTGCTGATAAACCGCAAGCATTAAAGGTGTCTGCACCGGCAAACACTCGCTTACGGAACCCGAACAGGAATCAACAGCACAGCCGTTGATATATATTCGCACACACACCTTTTGACGCCACCAGTCAAACATACAGGGGAAGAGACAATTATGCTATTGGCGGGATACACTCATTTGCAAACGAAGCCGATGTTGTTGGGCTATCATCAGCAAAAAAGTAACAAGGTGATCGGGAAACCAGTATACCCTCAATGGCGCTCGTGCATCCAAGCTATCGCTTTCAATGCATAACTCCTTTCCCAACCCCCCACTGACAGTGCTGGATTTTTGCACCAATTTATTATCTACCGCCTGCAATGCGCAGCTACCTACCCCCTCCCGCCAAATCATCCGTGAACGAAACTGCGGCAGCTACAACCACAGGGAGGATTAGGAAACATGTCCTGCATGTGAACCATGCAGAATAAATTCACACCTTGTGAGTGCGGAGTAGACTTTAAAAAATGGAATCATTCTAACATTTCCAAGAATGCTTGAGCTTTCTTCTTTTTTTCCAGGATAAGGACAGTGTCGCTTGCACATTTCAGTTCGACAAGGCTCTCTTGATAGTTGGAGGATTGGGTTTCGGGGCTTGGAGAGTTTTCAGTATCACATCATTACAGCAAGAGAATATCTATTACCGGGAAGTTGGATCAATGTGCAATCTGAACAGGTTCTTGGATGTGCTAAACACAACCTGGGTCAATCACGTAAGAAAGATTTAGGCACAAATACTCAATCACCAACAGCGATCACGTAAGAAAGTGCGCAATGATTAAGGTTAGGAGGTTTGGTGGTGCGTA